TAGGCAACAGTAATTATCTTGAGCTTTATAGTACTTTTTAATCACTGCTTTCTTACTAAGGTTGTAAATGTTGTTACAGCTAACTCATCAAAACCACAACAAAAGCTGCAGGATTTCACATTTTGGGATCTGTTGTACTTGTGTACAGTATATAGTTGTAAAACCCTTAAATAATAAGCAAAAAACAATGCTGTCACCTCTGAGGTGTAAGACCTGTGGAGTGCAAGAGTAAATTCCTGACATATTCTCATTGCTGGGAATCTCTCCCTGTCCCAGCCGGCTTTCCATCCCAATCGCCCACGAACTGTGAGCATGGAGATCTCCACTCTAGACAGAGCACAACTCTGCCACACCAAAAAGACAAGACCCCTGCCTCAGCAGAGTTCTGCACTGTCCAGGATTCAGAGGAGGGTGACATAACTCCTGTAACTCGCTCAGCGCACTGAGGCCTGTTACACCTGCATGACTAAACTGCCCTGCTGAGACTCCTGAACTTCCTATTGAAATAAAACTGCCATCGCATAAATTAAAGAATTCACAAGTTGTTCATGCTTTTTTATAAAAGGTACTGAATGCAGGCAGATTAAGGCATATCGAAGTAAAACTATATATAGTGCATTAGTACAATTTGTACAAGAGCCCAAGCTTATGAAATTCTGAAATAGATTCAATCTCTATACAATAGATAAGCTGTGAAAAAGACCCACTGCTGGAAAGGACAGTGTGGGGCTATTCTTCAGTGTTCCACATTGAGTCCCACTTTATCTTTAGTAAAATAATAGAAACAGGGGAACTTGCCGTTAATAAAACTATAAAATTGTAAGAATATTGAGCTTTAGAAGGCAGACAGTAAGCAGGATCTGTTCTGCAAACAGTTAATATGACTTGAAGTTTTCTGCCAAGTATCATTTTTTTAAGTGCTCAATGGTCGTAAAATCAAAGCGATTATTGTGTGCAGTTATTACAGTGTGGGAGTCAGGAATAATGAACTGGATTACATGCTTGGCCTGGGGTAAACTGCTCGTGTATAACCACAGGGAAATGAGACTCTCAGCTTTTCATGAAGTTCGCTTCTTGAAATTTGCAGGCCCTTATAGCATTGCGGTGCTAAAGGCCCAACGTTAAGAAAATTAACTTAATAAATTGTTGACATCAATCCATACAGTATAGTTTTTTTTGTGACAAATGTGTGTATGATGAATTTAATTTAGTTTTTAATCAACTTGCAGGCATCAGATTCCTTTTGGGCTCATAACCAGTCTGGTTTTTGGATTGGTCTGGTTCTGGTTTGGACTGGACTGGTTCTGGACTGCCCGGGCTTTTGCTGGCATGTGCACATGAAAACTATACTGAATGTGAATCTGTGTGAATTACACTGATTACATTTCCAAATGCAAATAAAAAATATGCATATATAAAATACATTTCCTTCTAGAATGTTTGTTTCTTCATCGACATTCCTTAATGGGAAAATACGACAGACAGTACTGCAGCAGATGGTTTTGACAGGGTGAATGAAATCACTGTGATGAGCTGTAATGGACAGTGCTATCTGTACTACTACAGATACATCTACCATCAAGCACATCTAGCCCACGTCTTTGGGCAAACGTACAGTACCTTGAGAAAACGACATGGGTGAGAACAAGCAAATGTCAATTTTAAATGTTTTTAAATTGTTTAAAAAAATGTGTTCTTTTATTCTGTGTCTTGAAGACAAGGCAGAATCTCATTCACTCATGGTTTTATAGTAAAATACCAAGTGACAAGTTTATAGGCTATCCTTCCTTGTACTTACAGTATAATCATACTTATGGAGTTCCATCTTTCATTGCCTCTATCTCACTGCGACCTACAAACTATAGCTACATTATAATTATAATACATTATAAACAGAATGTAGCATACAGGAAGCAGTTTATCCCAATTCCTTTCCTAGAGTGCTGGAAGCCTCAGTATCCGTCCGGAAGAGTGAAAAGTTACATTTATAGCAAAGCCGTTAACTGCCTCCAAGAAGCCAAATCCCGCCAACCCGCCTGCACCTCCGCACTTTGAAAAGCCACTAACTGCGTGGTTACCCGTCCGTCCGTGCAGGGCTGGGGATTAGTGGTGGCAGTGCCTGTTCCTCTTCCTCGCCTGTGAAAGACAGCGCCCCACAGTTCACAGGCCTGTGGCGACCACTCCGAGCTCTGAACTCACTGCTCACTCAAACCCAGAGGTCAAGCCAGACACCGTACAGCAGACACCAAACACACAAATTCCCTTCAAAACAAACAGCACAATGAACTGTATTTCTACAAATGGAAATTGCAAAAGCTATGGTTTAAATGAAAAGAGACAAGAGGACGGAGGAGGCTTTCTTTCTCTGGGTTGTTGAAAGGTCTTTTAATCCTGTGTCTTTTTCTGGGTTCAACTGGCTGAGAACTGCACTGCACTTCCGTGAATTGCATTGTTTTACTGAGGGTTTGGAGGGCTTGGAAATGAAGTTGAAAGCACTCTGAAAAGCTGATAACAATAAATACAGGTGCCCTCAATAAATCTCCTGTCTTGTTTTGAAACTCAGAACGCTGTCCTGGAAACCTCCTCTCAATCAATATTGGCTGCTCCTCAAAATAAGCCACTTGAGAAATAAGAACATAAGAAATATTACAAACGAGAGGAAGCCATTTGGCCCATCTAGCCTTTTTGGTAGTTAGTAGCTAATAGCTAATTTATCTAAGGATCTTGACCAACTGCTTCTTGAATCAGCTTTACAACATGGCTTGGTAGCATGCTCCATATTGCCACAATCTATTGTATAAAGAAGGACCTTGAGTCCTTAGATTTAAATATTGGTTTCCTCTTGTGACCTCTGCTGTTGTTCACTGTCTCAGAACCATTTATACATACAGTAAACAAACAGTGTTAAAGAGATTACAGCTAGCCATACTAAATAAGTTTATACAAAATTATAGTACAAAGTACTAGAGACAAGAATTGAGTACTATGCATTTATGGAACAAAAAATACACCATATATAAATAAATTTCCTCTTTAAATAAATCATGTTCATATAAATAGGTTGCAAGTCACTTGCGTTGTGATAAAAATAGACTTCTATTAGTTAAAACTACTCTTTTCACTAAGATTAAAATAAATGACATTCGTGGGCTAGAATGGATATACAGTATTTCTGTTAACAATGAAGCCTGAAAAGCAGCACTTTGTTGATTTTTTTATTTCAATTAGTTAAGCTACAATCATTTCCATATCTTGCAGCATTTTTTTTTTCCCCTCTTATAACGTGTTTCACTGCTTACTGCCAATAGGAACCAATTATCGCAGTGGGAAGCTGAGATCTCAATCGCTAATGTGCTCGTGTTCAGAAGCACTGGGCTGACAAATCAAACACAGGTGTGCTCTCATTTCCTCGAGCCGCGGCCTCTTCAAACAAGACAGCTCCACTTACAGGCACCCCGTGGTTTTAGAGAGTATTTACCAACAACTCAGAACAATTTCTATTCTATTCTGAGTTATAATGTTAAAAATATTTAGGCACTTTTTTTGTTATGCGTGGAAAAGTCCACTTTGGCTATTCTGCTATTTTGAAACAGTCTTTCCAGAGCTAGCTGACATTTTCAGTTCATATACAGTGTAGTGATGAAGAAAAGCACTAGTGGACACTGCAGTTCCAAGAGAAAAGGGCCCAAGTGGAAGAAACACAAGAAGGAGAATAAATAATAGAGTTTGCTCTCTTTGTCATTCTTTTCTCTTATTCCTCTTTCTTTAGCAATCCACCTTTTCACCCTCCTGCATATGAAACCATATGAAATTAGTCCTTGCTGATGCAGTTCCCTTATATTGTTAAAGGAAAAAAAGCTTTTGATGTATCTGAACTTCAGACAATACAGAATAGCCTGAGAGATAAAGCCGAGATAAAGAACATTAGAGGTTAAAGGAGGGCCAAGTGTGTACTGTCCTGTAGCCACTGGCAGCAGATTTATTGCACTTCAGTGCTGACCTTTATGATTTTTAAGTGAACTAAGTTCCCAGTCATATTGGCAAAATGAAAATGAACCGCTGCAGAACAAACAACTAAGGAAATGCCCCGTGTGTGCTACCAGCCGATGTAAAGATGATAGAGCTATACAGCAGATCTGAAACCCTCTCAGTGACAGGATTCAGACGCTTTCAAGCACAAACGCTTTGTAAATTTAAACCTGCGTTTACATCCTTGGCCACACTCAATGGAAATCCTTGTACAATCCATGAAGCCAGTAAAATCAATTTCTAACAGATTTCAAGGCAAGACTGAAATAGGACTGAATCCAGCCCTGTTCCTGTAAGATTTTAGGAAGCCTGACATTCCTCACAAGATGAGAATTCAAGTACTTTGCCTCACAGCATCATCCTAAGTATAAAAACATATTCATTCCATGATATTTTGAACCAAGACCAGAAGCTAGACAAGATTTCAACTCATTTCAAGTATTTATATACTGTACAAATTATTATTATTATTGCAGAAAACATAACTGTCTGAAAGGTTGTCAGTTCTCAGGTTTACTGTCTTTACTGAGTGTCACTAGAAAACAATTATCATAGTGGGATTCTGAGATATGAATTCCAATTAAGCTTATTTTCAAATGCACCAGGCTGACAAATTTACTGCAGGTGTCTCTCTTTTCTTATTTGCAATTGTCACACCTCATTAGAAAAATGAAATCCTTCATTTACTGGCACCCTGCAGCTTCAGAATGCAGACATTCCCAAATGCCCCTTGACTCAATACTCTTTATAAGGTAATTTGAAAACTGAATGAAAACACAGCTCCCACACAGAATGAATCTCATTGTTCAATATGAAAAAAAACACAGTTTAACAAATTTAGCTTCAGAGAGCATTTAACTTGTCTGTGCATCTTTACAGAACACCATCATTAGGAGTAATGATCACAGATCAACAGGCTGCTCAGTGATCAGTGCAATCACAGTACTGGCTGTGGGCACCAGGGGGCATACCTGTGAGGTTCTTCAGTCCAAGCTGACGCAGGCCAAAGTTGCCATCTTTGCGGTAGTTAAGGAAAATGGCCAGGGAGTACCGATCCTCGTACAGCTTAGTGCCGCGGATGATCCGCAGATTTTCCAGTGGCAAGTAGTCAAACTGGTTCAGAGCCACCAGCACGTAGCCTGTCACCTCCCGTATTGACTGCATAAAGAAGAGCAGAGACATAACAATGAACATTATGGCCCCTTCTCTCACAGAGTTAAACACTGCACTGAACAGATGAGTTGAAAACCTAGGTCAGGCCGAGCTCAACTTTCACAATGGTCATTAACATGATTCAGTCATATGTTTAATTCAGTACAATTTTTGCAAATATCAGACAGGAAAGTGTCAGAAAGTAAACAGTCACTCCAAGATGCAAGATCTGTGGCAAGTTATTATTATTATTATTATTATTATTATACAGAAGAATCTTTAAATGAAGATATTTATTCCAGCAAGAGCAACGACAGGAAAAAACAGTGAAAACCTGTACAGATAGTGCAGAGCAGTTATGAAATATTAATCTTGAAGAGCTGACACTGTAGATCTTACAATCAGTGACAGCTGTCGGCACCAATGCTTTTCACAGCAGCTCTATTGAGGAAGGAAGGTGGCTAACCCAGCTGACTCACAGAAATGTACACTGGCTGCAGTTGAGGACATTCCCATGGGGAGCAATGAGCAGTGGTTAGGGAAGAGCAATGCCTCCCAGTACTTGCAAGTGGTGTTATTCATTTCCTCTCCCAGTGAGTGGATCTTTCAATACAGTAGTTAAAGTAATCCATCACTGCAGACTCACAACACTGTGTTGAGTGCTGTAGCTAATTAGTTCAAATTTTGAACCAGACACAGTATAGTATTCTAAAAGAAGGTTAGTCTGTAGCTCCCATTACTTATTTTTTTACAGATTATCCTTACAGTGCCTAAAGGCTAACCTGGAGGAGCCATAGTGACCACCAGCAATAGGTACTGTATAAGTTGTGGAAACTATAGTAACAAGGCCCTTTTAGCTTATATATGTTGCAGTTACTGTCATAAGCAGACTCAGTGACCTCCAAAACTTTTAGGAGAGTAAAGTCTAAACTGTGATTCCTACCATGAAGATGATGATGGCTATTATATAAAATAATAACAACAACAACAACAATCATCATCATCATCACTTCTCATTTAAAAGAAACACTATTCATTTTTAAAATGTAGAATTAGTTCTTCTCATTAAATAAACTGTAGTATTGAAAGCAACAATCTGGAATATACAGTTACAGGCGTAACTACTGTACCCATCAGCCAGTTGTGCAGTTGATGACAGAAAAATGATCAGATCTGTTGAGGAACACCCTAAAAACAATCACTGGAGAAACCTCCAACAAGCTCCACAGTGCAGAGGTGAGGGTATCAAAATCCAAAGACTGCTGAAGGCCAAGACATCAACATTTCAAAGGCTGCACCACAAGAAACCTATTATCGACACCAGGAACAAGAAAGACAGGAATCTGCTCGGAAGCACAAAGATGAGCCAGGAGAATTCTGAAACAAAGTTTTATGGACAGATGAGACCAAGAGGAAACTTAACCAACGTGATGGAAAAGTTAAAACGTGGAGAAAGGAATTACAAACAAAAACTGTGAAGAAAAACGGTAGAGGTGATAACTACACTAAAAATGATTTTTGTTACAATACAAACAACTATATGTATGGAACTACCTACACATTAAATTTATTGAACTTATCGTTCATCTTAATCTCACGATTACAAAAACAAATTGTTTAAAGCAAAAATAATAGTTGCTTTCCTAGTACTTTTGGAGGGCACTGCACGCTAAGGTTAACTTACCAACAGGAGAAAAGTTGGAAATTGAACTTTGTCGCTGGGGTTAACAGGCTGAATGCACTGACTGAACTGAAGATTGTTCACTCTGAAGGGATGAAAGGTTTCATTGAATTTGCCTCCAACAAACAGTGACGATTAATTAATTGATGTGACATAATAACACACACTGTTTTTAAACACGCCGACTCGCTTCTTGTTAACAAGTCAACCCGGGCATCTTAAATAAATAACACACGTGCAGAGCTCCGACTCTCTGATCCGGAATCACAGGGGCCCCCTGTGAAGATGACTTGGGGATAAGATGAGGAGGTCACTCTGACCCTGGCAGGCCAGTAGAGAGCCCAGCTGAAGTCCTTGTGTTCTGGCAGACTTTAAAAACGCAACAGACGCATACACAGTCCTGCCGGTCTGTTCTATAGTGCATCAAGGAGACTGCTTCACTGTTACTTAGCAACCAGGAAAACTGCCAACTCTAAGATAGCATCTTTGTTGTACTTTTCCACAATCAATTAAAACATTACCTTGTTTTACTCCCGTATTCCCCGACCCCCCACCCTCCCTTCAAAATTATTTTGTTGCTGGTATAGTTTTCTGTACTTCTTTCATTTATTTATTTTTTTTCCTTTGCATTTTCAATCCTTTGGATCAAAAGTTTAAGAATAATAACATTGCAACAAGCAAAAAGTAAAATTAAAAATGCAATCCAAGGGAGGAAATAGTACTTTAAGCTTTATGGTATTGAATTGTATGCTTATGAATTATTTCCATTAAAAGATGTTGTGTTCATCAAGTCCACACCCTGACACTTACAAGTAATTGAAAACACTACATAGGTAAAAGCCACCTACAGTATACAAGACAATTACTCCAATTGTGATTCAGAAGCAAATTGGAACAATATCTGTTCTTATTGCAGTATTTGAAGTTATGGTTTCAAAACTTCCAATTTGCTTCTACATCACAACATATGATAAATGCAACTTTTTTTAACTGATGAGCGACTTGACAATTACTCTGCTGAATTAAACAAATAAAACTGTCAAAGAAGACAAGCTGGAAGCAACCTTAACACAGCAGCATGTACTGTATGTCTAATGTTTATCTGTTTAAATGCACTCTGTTTCATTGTCATGGGTGTAAGGACAACTTCCACACCAGAGGTCTGTACTGTACTCTGAGCCAGTCACAAATATAAACGGCACTGTACAGTATATAACATTTTTTTTCCTACATGCCAATAGTCATCTTTAATGAGATTAGCGTTCACTGAGCCCCTGGCCAGACTGATGGCTGGCAGTGATGATGCTCATGAAGGAATTCTCCAGGCTTTTATTAAAGCAGAATCGACCTGCTACCTCACACACAGAGGTATTCCTATTGATTCCCATGGCCGACAAACAATAACTGCAGGCCTGGATAAGAGTCAGGTCTGTGAGACAGTGACAGCTTTTCCAGTTCTATCGCCTTTTACTCTCCCCCATCTCTCTTTATTTCCCCCTTTTCCCTCTGGGATTAAATGAAAACGAGGAGTCTTGAGAGAAAACACGGTACAGCAGTTCAAGGGGTGGGCTTCCTGGGAAAGCTGTCATGACTCTCATTCCTCTGCGGAGTCATGCAGGCTCTTTATTAAAAAGGGAGAAGGGAAAAGCAATTTTCTCATTATTCATAAAACCTCTAACAGTGTTGCTGATCTGTTAATTAACCATATATGAACTGATAAACAATCCTTACTTCTGCCTTTATAGTACAGTATGTCACAATTATTGTGCGCATCTAGAAAATTGCATACATTCATGGTTGCAAATCAGATATTGCTACTGCTGAATCAGTCCAAAGAAAAGTGACTAGATACATTAAAGTGTTTAAAGGAATGCCCTACAAAGTCAGTCTAAAAGAACGTAATCTTGAACAGCAAGACAACAGAGAGTCTTGACTCCATTTTTAATGTCAACCTTATGGATTTAATCAGGATAAACACAGAAACATGAACCAGAGGACACAAGTGGAAACTACAGGGAAGTAGATCTAAAATTGAGAACAGAATGCACTTTTTTACACTTTTTAAAGTGTTGAGGGAGGTGCGAGAGGTTACCCTGGCTTACTTCAAGAAAAGATCCTCGGATCAATTAGTTGATCTCAACCAAATGCAACAGATGAGCTAAAAAGGCTTCCTTGTGGCTGTAACTAATGTAAGGTGAGTTGGGAGCTGCAGTGCTGAGCTGTGAGTGCCTACTTTCTGGAAAGTGGCATCTGTTTAGAAACTCTTTACCGCAACTGTTGCAGACCGCTCTAAATTCACTCTGTCTAAGAGGGGATTTTATTTGAAGTTGTTATCGACTGATTCTAAACTTTTCAAAGGTTGCGTCTGCTGCTGCGCTTTGTTGACATGCAGCATCTCCGCAAAGGGCCAAGAGGGCTTACAGGCTGCTCACTCCCTCGAAGACCTGGCTTACAGCACATTAAAGACAGGCAGCCGCTAGATCCTCCCTGCTTTGATCCTCCATTTACTTCAGCTTGCTGACGGGACAGAAGCAAGGAAACCTCGGCAAAAGGAGATATTTCACAGCCAAAGAGAAAAACAAACACAAAAACAGGCAAAGAAAGAAAGGAGAGGGAAAGAAAGAAGATTGTGCTAGAATTCTGAGGGTTCGATATGCAGCTTGGAGAACCTCCTCTCTTCTTGCCCAGACACGTCCTGTGTAGACACTTGCTGTGCGGCAAACACAAGCTGCTATATGCACCATGGCAGGCCTAATCTCCCTGGACTCCTCGGAGGTAAGTAAGTAAACATGTTGCTGAACACACACTGGGATCTCTCTTCCCTTTGCCAGGGATCTTGGATCACAACCCCACAGATGCACCGATGAGGTCATGCCTTGGAGCTGGGCCTGACAGAGCTGCGGAGGAGAAGTGGGGAGCAAGGCAGGTTCCCCTGGGTTACACACTCTTGATTCAGGCTCTGGTGGCCCGCCTGCACGGTGCAGTGGTGCGTTGCACTGTATCACAAGACTGAGTGCAGTCGGACTAAAAAAAACAAAACACAGTCTGCGCTGATTCATTCATTGACGCATACAGGGAGAGAAGATACTGTATGTAAAGGCTTTAAAAAAGGCATTTCAAAAATAAACCAGGGATAAAGGACTAAGACAGGAATATAGACGCGGCACATGAGCGTGATCATTTTGAGTATTCGTTAGTTCTGGAATATTCTGCCAGTTTATTCATATCCAAGTAGCTGTGCTCCACATTTACCCTCTCAATATTTACTCAAGTATTTATGTGGCAACTGCGAGTCTCTCCTTTGTGAAACTTTTTGCAATGTCTA